AGCTGCCCGTCTGGCGAGAAGGCCACCGCGCTGACAATGGAGGAATGGTCCTCGAGTGTGTTGCGGCATGCGTCCCAGTGTGCTTCTCGCATAGACAGCATCTTGACAGTTTCTGGCACTTGATCTATGAATGTTTGTCGTATTACGCTCTTCTCTGGTGCGAATACTAGCGCTGAGTAATAGATCTGTAACGGCGCATCTGCGAGTATGGATTGGAATCGTAGCACAAGTCGCTTAGAGTCATAAAGAAAGTCTAACACTAGGTTTGCAGAAGGCTGCGTTGCACGTTAGTAGAGTCGAAGGAAGATGTCTTTTTGCAGATCTTACGCTAGTAAGGGCCTGGAGGCTGTCGAGTAAGTTAATGCATCTACTTGATTCTTTCATAAGGCTCATGGCCTCAAGCCAATGAAGAAGATGCTCATGTAGAAAGAGGTGGATTGCATCTCTATCAACAATATCTTGCCTGCTCTGCTTGAGATGGTCAACCCAGTAACGGCACGCATATTGCAGATCAGGTGGCAGGCTGGTGGTAATTGTTTGCTCATCTATCTCGCTCCTTAGCACCCCAGGGCCTGAGAGGCCGCATATATTCTGACAAAGACCGCCAGAACCAGACATAAGCTTAAGGCAGCGAGATGCAAGCTTCCGGTGCGTTCTTTTATCATCTACCCAGAATGGGCTCTTTCCCTGCTTTTGGGGATTGATGAGGAAGTCGCGAAAGGACAAGTGTAAAAGACGAATAGGCGCGTCCTTATTATCCGGAACACTAAGAACAGAGTATAGCGGGTCAAGTCGACACTGAATCTCTTCTTGTGGAACTTGCAGTAAGCGAGCAAGCGAGATAGCAGATAGTGGGCTTTCGAGAACAACAATGCTGCCGACAATTTCTCGGAAATCCTGAAGCCACGTCTCCTTCTCGTCTTCTTCCTGCTCACTAAGCAGCTGATCAAGCACAGGGAGATACGTCCGATCTAGCTGCGAAAACGTTGCTTTCTGATACTGCAGGACCTTATCTAACAAAGCTGTAGGATTACTTCCTTTTCTGCTGATATACCGACACACTGTGGCAGCATAGATGAATAACGGTACAGCCAACTCAACTAGCGCGAGAATCTGTTGTTGAGCTGGCCAGTCTGAGGATAGCATGCGTTCTTTTCGTATTATACTGAGCTCATGCTCTAGAAATAGACGGATGTCATGTTCGATCATGCTTCTTGGTACTTGGTGGAGTACTAGGTCTTGGTACGTGCCGTTTGGCATTTCCTTGAAGCCTAAGCGGATATGGAGCTCTGGCCGACTGGTGACCACGATACGTAGCGAGACTGGGCGAATGTCTTTTGTCCGAGCAAGCAGCTGAAGAATCGCTCTAATATCGGCGTCTCGCTCACATTCGTCCAGCGCGTCAATCACAACAACACGTGCCAACACCTGTGAACGAGCCTGCTTTATCCCCAGGAGTGGCCGCAGGATCAGCTTCTCGAACTGGTCTTTCAGGGCCTTATGTGAGATCGTCGAGTCCTCATCGAGCGTCTTCCTGATGCCTGGTAGCATGTCTGGCTCGCAGGCGACTAGATCAGTGGCAATGGTAGTGAAGAACCGTGAGGCATTGCTGCGCTCGCCCTCGCCTTTCTTGAAGAAGAAGCTGGCTCCGAGCTGCCCTCGACTGGCGAACGACTGCGCAACCGTTCGCGCTATCGTAGACTTTCCCGTACCCGCCATGCCATTCAGCCAGAATATAGGCTTGCCATCCTTATTGTTCGCCCATCTTATAATATCGTCTAGCAGCTCAGTGCGGGTGTTTGGTAGGCACCGTGCGTTGTGCTCTTCGTTGTGGGAATTGAAGGAGGCGTCTATCGCGACAGGCAGTTTTGCTAGATCTAGTTTCTGATCTATGCTGGACACAACGACTCTGTGCGGTCAGTGAGAAGCTAGGTCTACGCAAGACAGATCTGGGTACAGAAGCTTACGTCTGATCGGCCTGTAGTGCTAAGCCAAATGTCTGCTCGTATCTTTCCAAGTCTAAAACGATCTTGTCCACCTGCTTGCTCGTGAACGGCCATTTGAGCGCACGGAAACCGAACCGGCTCATGGTCTTACGGGTCTTTCTTGGTTCCAGCGTCACTTCTAGGCCTTCCAGCTCCTTTAGGCATTGTTCGAGCGAGCTAAACAGGCCCTGAGTAGTAGAGAGCCGCGTCTTGTCCTGGCTGTCGAGGAGCTGCTTGATCTTCTCCAGAATGTGGGTAATGTCGCTAACCTTTCTTCGTACACGCTCGATATTATCTCTCGCGTCCTTGATAGCCACGGAGTACTGGTAACAGAGCGAGACGATCTTGGCGGATATGTCGATTACCGCGATGACGCTTGCTGCGCCTGAAAGGCCGTCCATGATGCGACATCTGCGACGGAGATGAAGCAGACTGATCGATCGCGCTTCGAGTCGTGGTAGGTTGACAGAACAGGCAGGCCTCTGTCAGGCTGAGAGCAGTGCTGCGATCTATTGTCAGCTGCACAAGGCTGATAGGGCTGACACAGCTAAGCGCTGTTGCATAGCAGGCGGTGCGGCACAGCCACAAGTTCTTTAGCCACAGGTGGTAAATTACACCAGAGATGATTACGTGAGGCGTGCGGGGTCGCCTAACAGTAGCCGAAGTAGTGATCCGCATGGCGACCTTGCATAGCTTTGAGCATTACAACGGGCGCGAGGATGATTATGGCTTACTGCGCTATCAGAAGGTTCTTAAGGCTAGAAACTAACCTCCTATACGTGCAGTAGGTCGTAAAAGCTTCTAAGCAGTCCTATAGCACAGCAACGCTGTTGCGCACGCTACAAACGTTGTTTATAACATTCGCAACACGAGCAGCAATAGCGACATGACTTTTAGTCAAGAGTATAAGGATAAGCTCAAAAAATGCTTTAGTATGTTGCTAATAGTTACCAACTTACTATGATTGTTAGGGTGTGCGGAGAAAGCGAAGCGCTGAAAGTCGAAGTACCCCTTATTTGTCCCAGCACGGCGGGTGTCCCAGCACTCAGGGATGGACGTTACAACTGAATTTCAGATAATACGAACACAAAAGGATTAATGTTTCGATTGTATTCTATAAAAGTGATAATAGTCTTAATGCGAATTCTATACCGGCGTCACGCAATAGATGTTAAGTGCTTATTATTGTTTTTAGAAAGAGTAACATCAATCTATCAAGCATTTATCGCCTTCCACTTAGTAAACTGTGCTGGGTAAAGAAGCTGCTGCTGTTCAGTCAGGTCTTCGTACGCAACATCCTTCGCTAAGTCGAAGAGCTCTAAGAAGTCTGCATGAAACTGTTCTTTTAACGACTTTCCAGAATCTGTTCTAGCAGAGCTCTGTTTAGTTCGGGTTTCTTGCGGTGTTGGAGAAGGATGTGGCGAGGTTGGCGCTTTCACAGGCCTTGGACTTGCTGCTAACTCAATATTACTGTATCGCGATCCTTTCCGGCGCGTTGTCGTTTTTCTTTTACGAGATAGTTCAAGAAGTGGTCCAGGTCTTTCTGACACTCCGCCCATATGCTTCTCCTCAAACCTGTTCTTAAGCCTTACTGCAATATTGTGAAGCGTAACAGACTTCTGCTAGTCGTCATTTCCTTCCATAACAAGTTTCATCGTTGACCTAGTTTTATGGCTGTAACTAGTTCTATTTTCAAGTCCATACGACTCATATAGTGAGGGGTTTAGATATACGAAGCAACGGGTATGAGGCCGTCTTCCTATAAAATCAGGAGCTAGCACGTCGACCTCGGCGCTATGCCCAACTCCTATTTTAGAGTCCTAGTACACGACTAGAACCTGAACTTCGCTAAGTATGTTCATAGGAAGCGCTTTCTTTTTGTCTCTGTGTATCTGCACAATCCTCTTAACAATGCGGTTGCTACGCTGGGTAACATCCCTTGTCCCTAGGTATGGAGAACCTTCTGGTAGGATCGACTCAAAACGAGCGCTGTAAGCATCTGCAGATCCATATCTGATACAGCAGCGATTTAGAGAATTTCTCGTGATATGACTAAAGACTTCTTTTTTAAGATGCTGTAACGAGGTCTCTGTATGTCTCCAGTTGATGTCGACTTCTTATGCCATATCGAGATCGTCCACAAGCCTACTATATTCTTGCTTAATATTGCGATTCTCTGAGAACTCTGGAGAAGGTTTCGCGTGCGTCTTTCCAGAGTCCATTGCGCTGCCTGGAGTAGTTTGTTTTGTCGCTTCCTGTCCTCCTATCTCCTACCCTGTCATTCCTTGTGGCTCCAAATTTTCCCTTGTCGTACTATCGCTAACGGCAGCAGACTCCGGATCTGCCTTGATAGTAGGCACTTTGTTTGTTTGCGCCATAGTCCGATTGTATCCAGCTAGTGTGTTTTCTATATCTTTTAATCTTTTCTCATCATCACTAGTAAACAAATCATGTTCTTATACTACTCGTAGCTGCTCACGTTCTGCTTCTAGCTTTTTATATTATTCATCGTGATGACCTATAGCTGCTTTCTTCTAAGCTCGTGTCTTCGGCTCGCTGCTCTAAGGGGTTTTGCCAGTTTTGCCAACTTTATCATCTTTGCTGGCTTTCTTAACAGGAGCTATGATGATGCGGTTGTGTGACAAAATGTAAATATCTACTGTAACGCTTGTCTTAAATAATTTGCAGAATTATGTATAGAAAATTAAAGAGAATGTATTAATAAATTTATGCACCCCGGCACTTTTTGGATGTATGTATCTCGTTCGATAACTTGTAACTAATATTACACTGGACTATATGCGTACAACTAATATGACTCTTACTCTCTATACTGATGTAGTAACTGACTAGAGAATATTTCTTCTTGAGAATACTTAGGCATAGGTGGCCTAGATAGATGACTAGGCAAAGAAGGACTTTTTCTAGCTGGTGACGCTTTTCTGGATGATGGCTTTTCTACGATGAAATCCTCTCGAGTCTTTACGATAGGTATGGGGTATATTGATTTCTGTACTATTAGAAAAACATTAAATGTAATATAGTAACTTATAAGCTGCGCAGAAGATGGTGGCTAATCTGATTGTTTTGGATCTGAATTATAGATATATAGCTGTCTATTGTTCTTTTGAATGTATAACTAGATCCTAACTTTATACCGATCACTTATCTTATGACCACGACGAATAAAATTGTTCTTTCTTTTGCGGAAAGACTCTTGTTGTAATCTTTTGGAGGCCATAACAATCTTGTTATAAAGCTAGGTGAGGGATACTGGGCTACTTATTTATATGCGACAAGAACGCACTGACCACTTGCACAGTATATTAGTGGATATAGGCCTTTGCGTTTAATATACCTAGGTATGGATCGTGTGACCAGCCCTCCTACTTGGTATTTTATTCTATCTACAGGACTTGTAGCATTCCTTATTCTATGCTTTGGCGGTTATCCGATACTTCGATGGATGGCTGCGCTTGTAACGGACGCTATTCTTAAGTATCTAGTCTACTTGATAGCGAGCTTCTTTAACTTGTTACAGTCCCGCATTTTAGGAATAGATGCGTTGTTTACTTTGCTGTATATTGGCGCTAACGGCATTTGCATTGGATGGGGTAGAGAAGCTGCTTATGAACTTAGTCGCCGATCTGCCTCGATGCTTATAACGAATCTCATTCTCCTATTTCCTGGTACAAGCATAGCAGCTGACCTACTGCATATCTCATTAAGGACCTATAATCGAATTCACAGCGTAGTTGGTATGGTAGTGCTAATTGAAGGATCTATCTATGCTGGAAAAGAACTGAACGTATATGGATGGGTTAGCGATATGGGCACGATAAGCGGGACGGCGGTATGTGTATATGCGTTGGTGTCGATAATGTATTCTTATGCACTTAGATGTTCGGATGCCTTGGGTTACTGAGTGCTGCTTCTCTACCTGTCGTCCGTCGTTGTGCGTACGAGATTTTTCGGATAGTCCACTTGGGCTGCTCTACATCTATATGCATCTTGCTTTGGCTACATGCTTCCTAAATAAATACAGCAGGCCGAGTATAGATTATTATAGGGATATGTATGTGGGGCGCTACTTGGATCCACAGGAGTGCCCTCCTTGTCTATCGCAATTTCTTAGTAAGCTAACCCTATACTAGCATTGTTGTTGAGAACATTCACAATAGTCTTCAAGTTAAAGTGAAGCTTCCTAGGCCTTGGAAAATTAAGCCTGGCCAATATGTATACCTTACCACACTAAGACCTGGATTCTTCTTAATCTTTCAGCGCCACCCGTTTATGGTGATCTGTTCGGAATTAGAGAACTATAACTTTCAGCTATATATTTAGCCTCAGATGGGCTTTACAAATTGATTGCTGACGTATACTCTTGGGGGAACGACAGAGCTAAGCGCTTTAGTAGAAGGGCCTTATGGAAATGGATTTGACCTAAGAGATTTTGGCATAGTAGTTCTGTTTGCCAGCGGGATTGGAATTGCCGGGCACCTTGCATATGTTCAAAGTCTTATATATGACTATTGGAAGTTTAAGACGAAGACTAGAGATCTTCTACTAGTCTGGCAGGTAGATAATAAGTACTAACTGGACTTAGTATGGGGTGTAATGAATAACATATTGAGGAGAGACGATCTTCTAATAGCTGCTAACCTACATGGTATGCGCAATCAATGGGAAAGCGGAAAGCGAGGCCGAGGTCTAGGCAGTAACGTTACCAACGAAAGTCCGGGTGTACGGCCTATACCGCATGGAGAGAATGTAAGTTTTATAGTGAAGCACTTCAAGATTGTTTAAAGCTTAAACTTTCTAGATTATAGACGTCTATATCTACGGGAACTATAAGATATTGGATGAAGCAGGACACGCAGTACCATGCAAGCGGGCAGGCAGCCGCATTGCGGAGATGGAGGGCCAGCTAGATGTGCAGCAAATCATTAGCGACGTACTTAGGACTGGAGTGGGAAGACTGGCGATCTGCGGTAAGCTTTGTGGCTAACTACTGCTACAACAAGTAACCTAAATAGTATGCGCACATCGTCAAATAAGAAACCAGGTGCGAGAGTTTGTTGCTCGTGCTAGCCGTAAGCAAGTAAGGTATGTCGAGTTCGACTTCCAACCCTTTGACTCAAGAAAGTATAAAAGGAGGAGGAAGTCTTTGCCAATCAAGTGCCGTGGAATCTAAGTACCTTAGATAGTCTATAATCAATCTCAAATCCACCCATCCTTCGACACAGTAGTGTTCTTAGAGCTGTTCAATGCTTTGTAAGGCGCGACAAAAGCGTTAAATGCCTCTCCTTGGTCGTCGCGAAGCTGATCTACCGCGTCTACAAAGGCTTGAGAAAGACCAAGAATCTCGCCAAAAGCCATTTCATCAAGTAAGCTAACAATGTATGCGTGGAGTAGATCTTGCGAGATGTTGGTAATCTTTTGTTTAAATTTTTCTGTGTGACGATAGCATTCTCGGTAGAATGTAAGCTCTAGTCTAAGTTCACCGTTTCGGCGGTTGAGGAAATCGATGTACTGGACCGCATTCCTGGATTGCTTGGACTTCTGCATACATTGGGGTTCCATTTCTATCGCAATTGTCTGGCCTCCATAGCATCTGATGATGTGATTAATTTCATTCGCCTCGAGAGGCCTTCTACTAGGCAACTTCCTGACAGACGGATCTATAGTCAACGTTGAGGATGTCTGATAGAGGATAGTGTATTAGTTAGGGAATTTAAAAGTGCGGTGAACCTTGCTTTATATAGGTTTGATTTCTACCTGTAATTCCCCGTGTTTACTAAAATTAACTTTTGATATGGATTTCAGACGATTGACTGTCTTTCTAAGAACGGGATATGGCTTGGACCATTCCAACAACGCAAACGACAAGGACAGTGCTCCTCTACTTAATGATGTGGAGCGAAAGTTCTACGATGATAGCGGGCCGTTAGACCTCGGGCTTCCTAAGATTTCTGCAACACTTTATGCGACTCGTAAAATCTTCACGCTAGTCGATAGTAATCTTGAACTTTGCTACCATTATATACATAGCGTGGATCTAGAAGGAAGAAGACCCTACTGTCTAGCCTAGCAAAATGTCTTAGACTTAGAAAGACACGCTTATCGTGTCGTAATGATACGACGTAGTTCTGAGAAACTAGTCGTTGGACTAGAAAAACCTGACCTGAATATACTTAATATTTTATCCGTTTTCTGGTTTTAAGATTCCTTGTTTACCGTGTTTGAGAGACCTGGACTTCCATTATCTGAGATTGCTGTGTCTTATTCCCCACAGATAGGATTAGCTGAGGTTAAGACAATAAGTGCTGAGGTAAATTGGGGCAAGTGAAGTAGAACTGTTCGCGTAGTAACAGATGATTAGGCAATCTTAGGTATTTGTGCTCTTAGCGCTGCAGGCTTTGATTGTTCTTTAATACAGGTAGAAGATATCACGATCTCGGCAAGCGATGGGCAAGTCAAAGTAGGTAAGATATGCCATGCTACTATTATGATCTTTTACATACTAAACACCCTTAAGCGTACGATCGGTCAATAGTGCTGGAAAGTATCGAAAACAATGCTAGTGCTTTTGGAACCATGCTTGAAGATCTTACGTCTCGCGTTCTAAGCCCTTGGATCCTCCAGCAGAGTGATGGCCTTCTCACATTCATCTGACATGCGGGTCAAATGATATACCAAGAGTTGAGAGAGGTATGTGAAGCCTTTTCTCACAAACGCTGTGATATTTATGATGTACAGGATGTATTTCTAGAAGGCTGTTTCCCTGCAGTATCTATTATTCCTTTGGTGCTAAATGCACAAATTATAGTAATTCTAGTTGAACACGTAGCAGATGCAAGAATTACCGAGTTGAGGATCGGAGAGGACTGAAATTGAAGTGTTTTTAAAGTTACTTATTAGTGCATGAAGATGTGAAAGGAAAAATTAGTTCTTTCTAACTGACATCTTTCCTCTTCGTGGTTTCCTTCGTTGCCTATCTTTAACGGTGAGTTTTAAAGCCTTGTTTAGGCTAGCTATCTTATCCTTATTGTTTCTGACTTGTTGGGAAAGAGTCTCGTTTATTTTAGAGAGTTCTAGGTTGCGCTGCTGGAAATCCACATTTTGATCTATGATATATTTTAGCTTGGCGAAGTGTTCGTCTTCTGGATGCTGGCTAGAGATCGCCTTTATGAGTAGAGCGTTCTTCGCCGACTCTAAAATCATCCCACTAATTGTTTGACTATTCTGCAACTCTCCTACCTTATTCCTAGCCAATTTGGCTCGATAACTGTTTACTAGGCCTTCAGCTCGCTGAGAGACTTTATTAGCAAATTCTTTTGACTTCTCTGTAGATTGATGGAGGTCTATGTTAAGCCCTTTACAGCTCTTGTGATCGTCCAGTAGCTTACTATGACATTCTTGGAGCTCTATGAAACCCTGGTTTAAGAGTTTATTGGAATCGCGTTCTCGTTGTAGCTCTTGCTCTGCTATGGCTATTTGGCGCTGTATGTTACCGACTTTATTTTGGCTTATCTGGAGGTTGCGATATATACTCTGGAGCTGCGCTTGGCCGTGATAATATAGATTGTATATGCCTAATGCAGCTTGGACACAATATCTTTGGTGCTGAGTTTCTGTGATTCCCTGCGCAGTGAAGTTAATGAAGAGCACTTAAATAGGATAGTGAGCGCACCTCCTGTGTCTGTACTGATGGTGTCGGGTATTGCTGTGGCTGACTTATGGTTGTAGTCCTGCGAGAACTCTTTTTTGATAAACGAAGTACGAAGGCGTTGACTAGAATAAATACTGCATGAATATGTATATGCGACAACGATATTAGAATATAGAATGTGTAGGCAGCTGTTATTGTGTTTGCGACCGCAAAAAGAAGACGCGATACTGCATTACTTAGAGGGCTGATTTATATTAACGACTGGTGTTTCGAATCTGACGCGCTTCTACCCTAACCTGGTAAGCCTTCTGTTCCTCGCCTATGTAGCTATGTATAAGTATGACTTAACAAGTAAAGCCTTCTAATGAGTAGACGAATTTTGGGTCTATAGTGAGTTCTACTTTTGCTGGGTCGGAACGGTTCGGCTGGAAAGGTATGCACTAGTAGAGATAGGGAATAGTTGATGGTACACAGTTGTAATCCGAAAAGGCATTCATGTATAATAGTATCTCTTACCAATTTTATATCACTTTCTGTCCTAGCTTTGCCTTTGATGATAAGCGCCGGCTATATTTGGAAGCAGGAGACGTTTCTGCAGCTAAAAATATGCTAGCATATACTTGTTGCTGGTGGCTTTGTTGTGCTGTCCCTCCGACTATAAGGGCTTGCACCCTTGGCTGGGTAAAACTCTGGCTAGCACTCAACATGGCTTCCAGCACCCTAGACACATCGTTCTCTTAATAGCTAGTGCTATCTTTATCTCTAGATAAAACCGTCACTTAAGGGTCAGTCGGTACCTTTAACTACTACCTACTACCTATCTTGGAATACGAATGGGATTTCGGTTGGGAGGAAAATACATTTCCCTTAGTAGATCTGTACGAGGGATTCGAGCAGGCTCCAGCCACTGCTGTTGAGTCTATTGCCCACGACACTACACTACGCTAGAAATATGAAGACCTGGCTGAATTAGGAAATGAAGTGCAAAAGCTACGACATGATATTTTGGAGCTGCACGATATGTTCTGCAAACGGCTAGATAGCATAGAGAAAAGCATTGCGGTAGCTGATAGCTATGTTAAAAATCTGGTACCTTGGTTGGTGGAGGTCCACGAAAAGTACTCATAGCTACTAGTAATAGCTGCAAAGCAAACGGAGTAAGCAAGAAATCGTGTAGCATAATCTGATCGATAGAGACATCTAAATATTGTACCTTTCTTGTATTGTCTGTCACGACAGTCTAGTATGTGCTAACTTGTTATAAGTATGTTTTGCTTTTGAGAATGAACTGCATCTTGCTAGCTACTTGGTTGATTTCAATAACTTAACCGAGTGAATAGCATGACTGATGATAAGCCAATCGAGATTCGTTACAGGCTATCTGACCATGTCAGGCTAGCCGTTCCAGCGGTAGTGACCTGGTTATCCTTTCCCTATGATTATATGGTTCTAGTCGATCTGCAACGTGCTTGTTTATATCGCCTCCGCTTACTAATTCCGTCTTGAGTAAAACGACTTAAGGCTTTGCGGTCCGCTCGTCTCTGTTGCAATACTGATAACATTGCCTGGAGATAATGGATGAGAACTGCTATCCCTTCTCTAGTTTTTATATTCTAGCACGGATTTCGAATCTTAACAAGTTAATAAATGGTAGAAACACTCGTATTGAGGAGAGTCGCGAGATTTGCTTTTGAGTAAGGGTCGCTTTGAATGAAAAAGAAGCTTCGTTCAATCGCTATGTAGACTGCGCTTATATACTATTTGACCTCCATTATGCTCTACTTTAGGCAAGATCTTTTAGAGGGCTGAGTTTTCAAAGGGATAGATCTTTTTCTTTTCTTGCCATCGTCGCAATGACAGGCACTCCTACCCGCATAGCCCACGGCTCGATGATCTGGTCTGCCAAAATCAGCATCTAGCAGCTGTAGCCTTATGAGCTGCGCTAAAGATTGTGGAAATCCACTGATGTTGTGCTGGACAAGATTGCTGAACTGTAAATAAATAGATATGCGCTGGTCGACATGGTAAGCTTTGAACTGAACGGTCTTGCAGTAATATCCACAAGTAGCATAAATGCTCGAGCTATCAATGCGGCCCAAGCTGGTACCGTCTTCGGTGGTAAAGGCAGCGTTTGGATATTCTTCTAGAATTCGCTCAACTAGCGCTCGGGTATCTGGACTGCGGCAGCGGATAGAGCCTGAGTAAACTATTGACCGCATCCTCGTCACCGGCTTCGAGAAAAGTTCGAAGAAGAAGGAGTTAACAAAAAGTGCCTGTGTGAGACTAGAGAAATCATAGCTCTCGAGAAAGTTCGAAGCTAGGCCTTCTAGCTCTGGCATCTTGCTAACATCATCTAGCAGAGGCTCCTTGCTTAAGGGTATGTTGATGCGGAAGTATTTGTGCCGCTCGTCTCTGGGAACTCCATTCAAATGTTCCTCCCAGCTGCGTTAAGCATCTAAAACAGCATTAAAAAGTCGGAACAAGCGTGGAAAGAAGCGGTCGCGGAAGCCTAGTCTTCTTAAAATGACCTCGGGCGATTCCGGATCACGAGCGAAGCCTGTTCCTATCGAAACAATCATGTCAGGTGCAGTATCCCAGATGGCTTTGGACTCCCACTCAGCCGGGTCGATGGGATTATTATACTTCCCCGCACCACCATCTTGTAGGAATCCTAATCCTCGAATGAACTTTGCCAGAAAATATGATGGGGCAGCAGAAGTTGCCCGTGCTCTAGTTAGAGTGAGCTTTTAGAATTCACAAAAGAAAAGAAAAACCTACACTTCGTAGATGAGAGCTTCATCCTCCACGCGAGAAGCCCGATGGTGTTCGTAACCTAAAGCCATGGATTAGTCTCACCCATCAATCTAGGACGCGGGCTTCTACCTTGCCTAACTCCCACTCCATTATAGTTTGAAAGAATGCAGAGTCTCGAACTGGACACGGTCATGGTAGTAACCGCTACTTTTGGTCCTGAAATGTGCTCTTCGGATTCTAAGAAGCTAAAAAATGTAGTGTCTGACCCAAAAACCTCTTTTACGTATGCTTCTATCTCGCCAGCTCCGTATATGCTGTCCGTCAGTAAAGTAGTTATAAAGCCGTAGAATTTTGCTAATATGCTATTTCTGAATGATTGGCTAGGTGAGAAGACACGTTTCGACAGCTTTTTGAAGGTAGTAATGCATTCCGCTATGTTCCGGCGCAAAAGGAACATGAGCACGATTAGGCCACCTGCATTTGACCATCAGTATCTAGCTACTACCAAGTGCAAATATAGGGATGATACTTACCTATGCTTGTACCTAATGTCAAGTCAAACTCGTCATATATATAGTATGGGAGCTTTCGATGTTGATTAAGCGCATGTAATATCCTTAGCGTAGATATTCCACGGATGCCGCCTCCGTCAAGGACGAGCAAACGGCTTCCTGCTGTCGGTGGCTTGAGACGGATTGTTAGGTTACCTTTGGATTGGCACAAAATGCACTAAGAGATATAGTATGCGTATTCTATGTGGGATAACTTGAATCCAAGCCTGCAAGTGCAGGAATCGCACAGCGCATATCCACAGCGCAGAATGTGCTCGGGCTTCCGAAACAGACAATAAAGACATAGCTAAGTACTGTATATAGTTTCCTAATTAATAGCGATGTTCTGGAGATTTCTTTTGTGTAGCTCTAGTGCTGTAAGTGTCTCTTCGTCAACTTTGGAACAAAATTGACTAAAGAGGACTCTTAACCTTGTATACAAAGTGCCCGGCGAGATGTCCCGATATGGAGACACTGATGAAAAGGCTTTTTCGCAATGGGTTTGGTACAGTAATCTAAAGACGACTGATGGTTTGAAGCTTGCTTGCTGAGATGAAAACATGGTAGCTAGAGTGCGAAGTACTTACGATGCATGCCTGGCGGAAGACTATTAAGCATGATTGCAGAAGCCATGTATTCCAATGTAGCTTCTTGGCTCATCTGATTGGCGATGCACAGCCTTAAAAACTTCTGTAAATAGAGCCAGAGATGGTCTTCTACTGGATTGCATTGGCGTGTGGCTAAGATAAAGTTGAATGGTGTGGAGATGCATGATGCAGTGTGTCCTAATGCGGACTCGAAAAAGACGTTGAGATGATGGGCTGAGTAGAGCATCCTAGAGGCACTTCTACTTTTCCTTACCATCTCCACGCCGGAAAGTATGGTTCTTTCTAGAGCGAAAAACCGGGAAGATGGAGCCTTGCGTCGAAGAGCCGGCAGTACTACGCGTTGGATACTACCAAACGTGGGCAGACCTGAATAGCCTCTGTGCCTGTAGGTGCTGCTAGTGACGAGAATAATCCGAGGCTTCCAGCCCTTTGAAAGTCTAGCATGATTGGTACATCGTTGCAGGAATTGGATACCTTCCTCACGAGTGGAGAAATCATCGAGGAAAAGACAAACAACGTCGATGAACGATAATAGTAACCTTCCGACGATAATTTCCACAAAAAAATCGGTTTCGCTTGCCGGCGACTCATGTGATAGCCACCTGATCTTATGGAGAGGACGTCCATTCTGCTTCCGCAATGGTTTTTGCTTGCTGCACGCGTTGTCTAGATCTACACTTGCAACCAGAAGCGGATGCTTATCATCTAGCGTTGAACTATCTGCTTCTAGTTGCGCAATACCACGTGATCTTGCATTGGCACGCCCTGGTAATAGCGCTTGGATTGCAGATTCCTTTTCGCGCTTGCCGATCAACAAGACAGTTGAGGGGAAATGGGCATGTGGATCGTAAAGGCTAGCGATGGCGCGTTGCAACGCCCCGCCACACGTCAAGAACCAATCAGTTCCAGTCTGAAAGCCGTAAAGCCAGTCTGAACTGTTCCGAGCAGACATATCTGTACAATAGAGATATAACAGAGCCTATGTACACGCTGTCCCAAAATTTGTCCATATAAATACTTTTGGGAGAGAAGCAGCTTCTTGCTAAACGCACTTTTGGGGTGGGCATCAACTGTAATAATATATTTATACATACCTAGAACCTGTCAGAAAATTCACCAAAGAGACCACAACATGTGTGCAAAGTTCGAAAGGTTTCGGTATTACTTGGGTACTGCACAAATAAAAGTATTGAACCTATGCTACAGTGCACCAACTACAGATTTAGATGACTGCGAAGGTTGCTGTATATCCGACTTGCAACATAATCTGCCGGCGCTTATTGGGTTGTCCGATTACCAGGATTGTTTGACCAGAGCAAACATCACTACAGACACATTGTATGCTGTCGGACTATCTCCGAAACTTACTCTTCCGAAGGATGTCGAGTTACCATGCCTTCACGGACGATTTCGGTTAGAGGCTGTAAAACAAGAGGGGTCGCAGAGTCAAGACAATTGGTGGCTCGTTGATCTTTACACTTCAGGTGACGGCACAATCTTCTTGTTCACATGTGCCTGCTAAATAGTCAGCACAGATACTCCCTCAACTACGTTAACCCAGATTCGTCAATTCTATAGACGGCATGCGACTTCCTGTGACGGAGAAAAGTTTCTCCACATTCGGTTCTACAAACGGGAGAAAAACTATGCAGCTGCTTCAAAATGGGAAAGATTATTAGGAACCAAGACAAAAAGCATGAAACAAGTGTTGCGGAATGAATGGCTTCGCGATTGTCTTGAGAAACTAGAGCCCTTTCGCTCTCTATGGATGGGTTTTCAGCTCGGTTCCTTCCCACTTATCTTGAGCTGGCGATGCGCGCAGGTATGACTTCCCAAAATCTAAAGTATATTACATTGCTTAGCTATCCAGGAGATTGAATGCTACCTTGAGAAAATGTATAGAATCTGGTACACAATCACAGGTGGCGAGACTTACTTATGCGACGAATATACAGTTGAAAAACTTGGAGGACTTGCACCTTTGTGGAGTGCTCATGACCGCTCCCTAATCGAGAGCTTGTTTGCCGCAGGGCATATATTTCCTCGCGTACGCGATCCAGCTGTACGCGCTCGGATCTCTCAGAAGGTTCTCACTGTTGAAGGGTTCGTCCTAACGTTCCAGACCTTCTTCAAACAAGTCAAGATACTAGGACCTATCATGCACCCTTTGAGAGAGTTGTTTCCTGCAAGTGATTTCTACCCTTCAAGGGGCGAATTCAGCCTAGACTCCAGACGTCTTCCCTCAGTAAGAGATATCCTGCTTCAGCGTTGGCGCGAGCGGCCCGAACCAAATAAGCAGCAATATGTGTTACAATACAACGAAATTGATGACCGCTCTGTTGAGTGTAGTGATCCTGGTTTGTATTCGTACTGGCAACTTTGCTTGTATTTGCTTCGACATTCGCAAGGCCATCAGGGCTTCCCAAAAACACAATACCGGGCAGAGCCGTCTGAGCGTCCTGGATGGGTGGTTCGACTTGGCCAATTTGCGCGCAGGCTTGGGTTTGAGTCTGAGCAGATATCGTTGCTCTGCAATCAAGACCCCAATCTCTCCCAGATCCGCATCCATTTGCTCGAAGAAAGACCTAGTACCTTTTTCTCTGCACCCGCAGACAAGTTCGATGCAGAAGCCCATTCACGCCAAAGAGGTCAAGCGATCTTTGATTATCGCCCGCCTACTGTTACCCCTTTGATGACAACCGATAGTGCGACTGTTATGCGAGTGCCCAGGACCCATCCCGAACTATTTCTTCCCACGATATGGAGTGCGCTTACGCAGCAGCCGCGCTATGCTTTGACGGAATATGGAGCGCTTGTGTTGATCTGCTTGTCTTTCTTTGAGGGGTTTGGATCCAACTCTGTCGCCAATGTTGGCGAGGGCCCTCAGCCAGTTCCGTCGCTTTTGCGTTCATCATCTGTATACTCAGTGCCCGCATATCCTGATTCTCACCGGGCTAGTATCACATTCTGGCATTTGCCCCAAAGGCGGGACATGAGTCCACTTGCTGAGTACATTTGTGATACAACTATCAAGGATATTGAGAAAGTAGTGAACAACATTCGCGCGCAGGGTCAAGCCCCTTTATTCGCTTTAGTGGATAGCGATGGGCGACTTAGGCTTTGTGACCCCTCGCAGATTTTGTATCGCCGTAAACGATCTAAGCAACCGAAAGATGTTTACTATATATATCGCGAGGAAAACTGCAAGATTTGGATAATGAAGAAGCTAAACAGTTACCGAAAATAGCCTTTATCGCCTTGTATGTAGTATCCGGGCTATTTGAGGCTAAGAAAGGTGACGACGACGACCTCTTTCTTCTTGGTATAGATCATCGTTTCCCCACTCTTATTGAATTCGTTTTTTGAGCCGAAATTTGACCGATCTATCGTATTGGGATGAGGTTTTCACTAATTGTGGCACGGTATAGAGGGTTCACCTCGGGATATGTCCCCATGCTCTTGGATCGCACCCTTGCAAGTTGTTGTGGCACAGCATCAGCATACAGGTATTAAACGTGGCAGAATGTTCTATATCTGCAAGTGATGTTTGTGCAGGACGCTGTGCGTGCCAAGTGACAAGTTCCTATGCATCGGTCGATAGTCCCAATCACAATGGACAAGAACAAGCAGCGAGTAAAACACGCGTGCAACCGGTGCCGGTTTAAGAAAACAAAGGTAACAATGCTCCTTATCAGACTAAGCAGGACGCTGATATTAGAACTGTGCGACGGGGAGCGTGTTTGCTCTAAGTGTCGAGCCGAGGATTCTTTATGTGATTATAGCAATGATACGGTCCAAGTGCGGAAAAGAGACTCACCGTAAGCGTCTCTAGAAAGATAAACTGGCTGTTGCTTTAGACTCACTCGTCTTCTAGGGTAGCGCTCCTTGAAGCGCAGAACAGACAACTACGAGACGCAGTTCAGACGCTTTACGAGCATATCCAGGCTGGTCACGAGTTGCCAATCCTGCCAGCGCGGAGTCCGGAAGACAACCGTCCACTTGTGCACGACATCATCGAATATATCAACACACTGCGTGAGAGTACGACAACTATACCAGAACAGGCACAGCCCCAGGTTGTGTTGCCGAAGACGATGCCTACTGTGTCTCTTTTGCAGTCACAGCTAGCAACGCCGCTACCTCTGGCTGTTGCCGTAAGTGTGCCTGATTTGGGCACTTTCGCAGCCACCTCAACGCAGCATAGCTTCCCATTTATGGCGTACAACGCATCACAGATGAACTACGAGTGTCTAGAAAGCGAAGTGGACTAACAAGAGCTCTGGACATTGATGGATACAGATCCAGTCGAAGCTGCAAGATTGTACCAGAGCTTTTAGTGTTGCATAAGAACGCAAGTGCATATGAATATACAGTAGTCTCGATGGGTACACGTACAGTAGATAGGCTCAAGCAGATAATTTTTCATCGCTCTGTTCGTGGCTAGTCTACATATTATCAGAGGCTTCTATGCGTTACGTAGATGCGTCTATATTGTCCGAGCAGAAGCCACGGACTCAGCGTCCTCATGATCCAGATAATCATCCAGAGTGATTCCTGTAGGTTCGCTGTAAGCCTCGATGTCCTCAAAAGCTGTGCCATGAGATGAAGTATCGTCTAAATGCAGATCATCAGCATCGACCGAGTTCCTTGACCCACGCCGGTCCTCCGCAATTTGAACTTCTAATCGCTTGACATCATGGCCAGTGTCTAGGTTCACAATCTCTCTTGTGTGAATTTCCTCCGGCCCTGGACCATCTTCAATGGTAGCGCGAATATAACGGTTGATATCTGCAGTGGCTTCTCTGATCGCTCCGCCGGCGTCATGGAGCTGATCCCTCTGAAGATCCACGACACGCTTCAGATTTTGGATGCGAGCATCTATTTCCTTCAGGCTAGGGCTCTCTTCCAGTACCCAAACAGCCAAGTCACTTTTTTGATGAGCATAGAAAGCTCCATCGTTTCCACCTGCACTCAACAACGTACTTGACACTTCTGCGCGGCACGCAGCAACCCTTAGCATCAAATTTGCTGTAAAGAATAGTTAGTTTCGTTCAATTCCAGGAACCAGACTTTCTACATACCCAAGACTATAACACAATTTTTGTCTAGAATGTCAGCAGGCGGCTCGGCGCTCAATGCTTCCAGTCGAAGCGGGCAATGGAGGAAAACGTCTTGGAGGAATTGCTCGTATTTTTCAGAACCCAGAACTTTCGCGATGTGAAGAAGTATCAGAAGTTGAGCAGTAGATAGCGTGTCTGGTCTTAAAGTTCGCACAAGAAAACCGAACGCTACAGTGTGGTGCACACGGGATGTAGAAGGGATCTTGTACCGTTGCACAGTATCAGCCATCTTGAGAAGCGTTTCCAGTGATATGTGAGCATTTGGGATAAAGCAGCCATGAGCCGACTGGCAGATTAGATGGAACGCCACGGGATCTTCATCTGGCAGCTCGATTCTCTCACGTGGCGACGCGTGTTGTGTGAAGAGCTTCTCGAACTCTGGTGATGTTTCTGACATGATTGAAGAGGAAACAAGAAATCGATGTTCTTTAACGAAAATTTCGATATCGCCATGCTCATGTGGATTCATGTTGCTATAAAATAAGTGTGTCAATATCACACAAGATATGTGAGCGATTTGTCTGAAATTTGTAACAAAGCAGTTTATATACTCAGGTGATGGAGAGAGTTCATGTCAATCACGTGAGTCAGGAGGACTTACACGACAAGCAATTATTCGTCCAGATAGGTCTTCGAAAGGTCGCTAGCCTCTAGAGAATTGTGAGGTCGTCTGGCTATCCCGGATGCCATTGTATGCCATTCGCTCTAGGAGGTCTCGTGTGAGACGGGATCCTGACGCAGAGCTGTCGCTTTCCACTGCTGCATGAGAACTTTTCTTCGTCTAGCCATGTCTATTGGATTTTTTATGGCATCTGCCGGTTGGTGGCGTTAATGCCGTCGATCTCAGCAACTACGCCGCTTGTACCAGCGTCAATCACACCAATGAAACAGCTTCCGACGTTCCGGTCACGCGTGTGATAGCAATCATTGACATTCTGGGCCTGCATCTTCCGCGCGGCCCGTAATGTTCCGGGCGTTTACATCCATTTAGATTAATCGTCGGCCCATAAACGCTTCGGGAGATGGTATGTGCCATGTACGTACTTGGAATGTTTGGGTGGCTCAATAATCACATCATCGTGCTATTCGGGCCGGTAGGAACAATATAGACGCTAAACCCAAATAGATACACCACAGCTTACGATCTGTGGAGGTCAAGCCACAATCCCTCGCATAACTAGCTAAACCTTGTATTGTATGTTATACTTCATCGGCACAGCAAACAACAACATGTGATGATGACATCTTGTTCTCTTGGCTTCTATCTGAGACACATCTTACCCGATTTTGTGATAGTTGCGTCTGTATCAGTTATGGTCACATCCTTTAGTTCCTCCCTCAGTTGCGATACTCGGGTAGAGCTGATTCCACAATTATCACTAGGGATACGAATTATTGGCGCTGACGTTAGAGCCTTGTGGAGGAACGGTACAGACGGTGCTGTATCCTCAGCTGAAGGAATCTCTAGCGCGGTAGGGAAAAAGGTTAGCAACGGGTCAAATGCTCTGCGAAGCAAGCGATGGTATACCACAATTAGTCCTGTGGTAAATAACATAACGCATGCTTGCCCGATGCACCGAGCGTTGCCCTGCGAGTCACGTACGAGAAGGAATAGTGCTAACAGACAGGCTTGCATAAGGTACAAACCTACTAGCAGATGCTTCAATGCTTTGGGATAGAAGAGGCCTCCGTGGTCCTGTTGAGTGATGAGTATACTTGGGCTGGAGTAAACGATCCAGAACAAACTAATGATGATGACCTGAAACGGGATGATAATTGGTGAGATGATAGCGTAGAGAATGCCTGTCTTTCTCAGCTTAAGCTATACTTAATATTTGTAATGTAAACGCCTACCAATGCAGGAAAGATTTGTGAAGGTGGGTACGAAGGTACCCCATTGGATTTCTTCACCCTTTCTCCGTATCATCATCTGTGTGACTGACTTGTCCAAAATTGGACTAAGAAATAATTTGCCAAATAAACGATCTACCCTTAACAAAGAGTTGGCGCTGATCGATAGCCCCTGCAAAAAGATATACGAAATGAAGTAGTTGCTGGCTTTTGGCAGGTTTTTAGCCAAGGTTGCAGCTAGCGGAGCTCCACCAGCTATTTCGTTTGCAATAGCAGTCAGTCCCGCAGATAAAGATACCACAAGCGTGACCTGAATAAAAAGGAAATAGAAGTAATAGTCTTGGATCTTGAAGTCAACGTGGCTTCTGATTGGGATACCCTGTTTTCGAACAAGGTAGTCTAGTACGGTAACAAATGTTTTCATTAGTATGGCCACCAGGATGGGTGGTAGCACACCTTGTAACAGGCCTAATAGGGATTCTGGGAGTTCGCTGATCCAGCCCAGCCATGACACAGCCTGGCTCATGTAGATGATCTGGGAGAGGAGCCCTGCCAGAGCTACTGGCACAACGCAGGCAGTTGCGGTTACTCCAATAAGGACATTTGAAAGTACGGTGCGTACAGCCCTGTTACTCCAACTGATGTTGATATTGCTCCATATCACATCATCAACTGATAAAGGTAATGTTCGAGGGGTCATGTAACCCGAGTTTGTGTGGATTACCGTTTGACATACGATCTGGGCCGCAATCGGACTGGAAAACGTAATGAATGCTGACCGCAACAACGGAAACTCGTCTCTTTTTGTACGATAGACCTGCATCTTCTCGCCGGTTTTACGAAGTTCTTCCCGATAGAACATTGTAGTGTCGGCCTTTTCGTGTCCCAGCCAGGTAAGGATATTCATGACATTCCGCAGTTGGTAGCACATGCGCCTGCTCACTTTGGGAAACCTTGACCACTTAGATCTCTTCTCTACACCAGCTCTACAGGCCTTCCTCATATTAGCGGTCTCTGCCGTCTCGAGGGCTTCAGCCAAGCGTTTCCGCTTAGCTGCTAGCTTGGAGATCGCGCTATAGTCACGATTGAAATAGATTGTAGTGATATCTCCAGGAAAGACCTGCAGCTGAGATGCAAGAGTCTTTTCGGACATCCAGTTTTCTGGTATAGAGTCGATCAGCACTGTGCGTAATGTGATATTTGGCGAGCGTTGTCGAGCTGCAACGTAAAAGGCAAGCTCGTTCCAGATAATCCAGCAGACATATGCCGTAAATAGTAAACTTAGTACGAGATGAACCCAGTAACGGTCAGCTTGATCAAGGCCAACATTTGACCATCCTAGTGTATCGAGCCCACTAACTCCGCTTTCAGCATTCTTTCCATTGGTGTAATTTAGTGAAACAAGAATAGGCGTGATAAGAATTGAAGCCGGAATGAATATTAGAAGCAGAGACCGCAGGTACCGGCGGAAGAAGTATCTATCGAAGTGCTTAATTTCGCAGTCAAATCGGAGAAAATCGGTTGTGATGTGTTCTTTCCAGCTTGTAATAGTGTTGCTTGTATATGAAGGAGCGTTGTTACTGTCTCAATTAGCGTGGTGGCAGAGAGGAGGTGACCAGCATACTAGATATCGGGGAAGCGTGTGCGGATTGTGAGGAACAGGATGACTTCTAGTAGAAATATGATTACAGAGAGGAAGATGGAAGCTATGAATGAGCTTAAAGAGGCACCATAGAGTTGGTTAGCTTTTGAAAATGATTTCTCAAATGTGTCGTCCATAGTTCTGGTATGGGTTAATGTTCTGTCCCTATGCTAGCAAGTCTCAAATAGAACGGATTGATCCTGAGCAGCGAAGGCTTCTTTGACTTACGTCTTGCTTGTACACTGATCTAGAAAAGGGCTAGCGTGGAAAGCACGAGGTCTTTGAACTCTGGTGCTTTCCACGCTAGGCCAGATTGATACTAAGCGATGAAGGCTTCTTTGACTTACATCTCTCTTATACACTGATCCAGAAAAGGGCTAGCGTGGAAAGCACGAGG